AAGCTGGAGCGCATCGCCCGGCTGGAGGAGAAGGTGAAGGCGCTGAAGGGGCAGAACGCCGAGCTGGCCGCCACCGCCAACCTGCTGCGCGCACAGGTCACTCAGCTGCAAGGCCGCGTCCGCAGCCACCTCTCCTCTGGCTGCCACATCAACGCCGCCGCTCCCTCCGGGCCGCCGCCCCGCGAGCCGCCCCCGGAGGCCGCCGCCGCCACCGCGCCCGAGGCAGGCGCCTGCTGAGGAGTGGCCGGGGGAGCGGGAGAGAGGGAGCGGGGCCGCCGCGCCCGTTGATTTCCGCGGCCACTGTGCGAGCCGGGGCTGCGCGCCGGGCGGAGTGCGCGAGGCCTGTGGAGGTGTCGGAGGTTAAGGTAACTCCTGTTTACAGAAAGACTGAACTTTACTTTCACGTGGGGATAAAAAATAATAATATATATATATATCTATATATATATGTTTCCTAATGCGCCATACCGGAGTGTATAGCAATCGATAAGCTTCTCAGAGTTTGAAGAAAAAGGAAAAGAGGAAAAAAAAAAAAGAAAAAAAAAAGGCCAGAATTGTGCCCTCTGGAAAAGATGTGCGTGTATATAGGTATATTTAAAGCATAATATGGCTCTGTATATTTTCTTGGCATTGATAAAGATTTTTTTTAACTACTGTCTTTCTCTAGAGCTTTAATTTGCCATTGAGAGCTCAGTCATCCAGGTGGGTGCTCGCGCACTGAGAGTGAACCTGAAGGAGAGCGGTGTTAAGTCCGGAGCAGGACAGGACGTGTTGCTGGTTCAGCTGTAGGAAAGGACATTTCTCAGCTGTTAGCTCTGTATTTCTTGTGCCAGTGCAAATCTGGGGCATTGATAGTTATTTATTGAAACTTGAACACTTTTGGATGTTGCCTAGACCTTATTTTTATAGATAACGTATTAGTAGTGATAGCAGTTCCTTGGCAAGAAGAGCTTTACTCCTTTTCTTTCACTGTGTACATTCCAGTAGAGTTTGCTCTTTACATAGTATAGCAACAATTAAGTGCTATACAGAAAAGGGCTCAGTTTTGGGGCGGATTCGCTATAAAATGGCAATTCTGTTGTATGCTGTTTGAATAAATTGCAGAACTACTACGGAGACATAGATTTATTTTTCAGTAAAGATCTGTATACATTTCCTCTTGGTCTACTTTGCTCTGAAGAACCTTTTTGCAATATTCCGGAGATGGAAAGAGTCAGTGCTGGAATGTGGAACACGCTTCTGGTTGGGAAGAACTGAGGCAGTTTATTTATTTGTCAAGATTTCACTAGCTGAAGGGAACAGCACAGGGACTTTTTCCTCTGATTGCTTCGACATAATCCTCAACAAGTTTTGGAAAGCTGTAGATCCCCTGCTCGGTGCTTCTGCTTGCCTCGCTTCTGTGCACTTGTGTGCTTTGAGCATCCCCGCGCAGCCCTGGAGCCATCTGTCGGAGTGTGGAGGCCACCATTAAGAGCAGAGCTCCTGAGCAGGTCCTTCTGTGGAGCAGAGCCCACACCTCTCCAGTATCACATCGCTGGGGCCTGGATGTGGAGCTCAACAAGGGCATCCTGTGGTGGGGACCACGGGCATCCCATGGTGCAGCCATCTTTCTGGTCTGCTCAGCCTCACCAGCAGCTGCTGAACACCTGTGTTACCTCTCCTGGAGCCTGCGCTTTGAAATTCAAGAAGAGGGCCTGGGATGGACTTGCGTTTCTTTCGCTCTTAGTGCTCTTAGTGCTGTCTCTTCCCAAAGTTCAGCACGTTTGGTGCGTGGTCACAGCATAGGCGTAAGGTGATATGCCAGTGCATCAGAATTGGGGTGTTGCAAGCCAGGATGCTCTAAGGGTATTTCTTTTCCCAGTGCATATGCAAATTGGGTAGAAGCCATATCAATAATTTTGTAACTGTTAAATCACATCATCAGAGCCCGTTCTGGGGTTTTAAGTGCTTGAGTGTAATGGTATCTTTTGCTGGTTTTAGGGTAGCTTTGGGAATACCAATGAATAGATTCTCTAACAAAACAATTCTCATCTTTACATGGGTTTGAAGACTTCCTTACAGGTGTTCTGAGCTGGGTAGCTACAGTCTGTAGCAGCACCTGCTGCATGATAGCAAGGCAAAAGGCAGTTTTCACTATGTAGCAGGTATCACCCATCTGCAAAGTTGCTGCAAGACTGAGAAGTTGATAGAAGCTGTTTTTTCCCCACCCTTCTGTGCTTTCCCCAGTGAGAGAGGTCATGCTCTGGGGAAATCCACTGACGTGAGGTACTCGCCTTCGCTGCACGTGTACCAAGTGTACTTCTTGTTAAAGAGCCTTGGAAAAATATGCAGAAGTTATGTGTGTGGGCAGCTCTGTTTCAGTTCTTAGATCGGCAGATGAGCGCGGGCCTGGGTGGGCAGGGCAGATGAAGGCTGTGCAGTGCTCAGTGCCTGTTCCTCACCCTTTGGTAGTGCTCCAGCCAGAACATATTGGCAATGCTCAGGAAGTGGGTGCATCCTCAGACACAGGCAATCCCTGTTATCCCTACTGATTGTAACTAGCCAGTCCTTAAGCCAGCAAACACTCTGTGTTATCCCTTTACCCTTCTGGCCTTCATCACAATGTGTTGCCTCTCAGAGAGCTCATACATGCACTCCCTGAGCAGCCTGCCCCATGCTCTGGCTCCCAAGTGAGGTTGGGTTTTGTTGGTGTTGCAAGAGGGTGCTGCTCCGCAACAGTATGAGAATGGATGACCTAAGCACTTCGTGGTCTGAAACACATGGCAAGGCTTAGGTGTGCTGCTGGGTTTGCTTCAGGTGCTGGTTTCTTCCATTGCTGTCTTCTAAAGTGGATCACTACTCTGTTTTCCCTATGGTGTCCCTGTATCTTCAGTTATGGGTTCTGTAGTTTATTCTTATAGTTAGTAAGTCAATTAATTGCTGTTTTTTCCCTCTCTTATCAGTTAGCTTTTGTTTTGATCATTTGCATGAATGTTGGTCACTGTGTGATGCTCAAAGAGTGATACCAGGTCCACTTACACAGCTTTGATCTGTGTGGTTCGGTTTCAGTAGCTGCGAATACGTAGGGTGCTGAAGTGTCACTGTAAAAAAACAATTCATTTCAAGTTCTCTGGAGCCTCAGTGCTTTTTTCTCCATCCTTCAAAGCTGTGCCATGTTTTGTCACGCTTAAGCGTGCTGTTGCTGGTCTCTGCAAAGATTCCCATAGTGCTCTCAAGCCCTTCTGCCTTGGTTTCACATTCCAGATACAAACCCATGACAAATGGACAATGCTTGTTTCCTTGCCCCAGGTGTAGTCTCTGCTCTGGAGGTGGTACAGTCCCTTCCTTTATCTGTTTTGATTACAAGAAATGGTTGTGCTCCTCAGCGCCTCAGGCAGTGACATCTGGGTGTCTCTGGCTGTCCAGGCAGTCGGTGTGGGTGGGAAGTGTTCTTGCAGCTTCCAGCATGTCTCAGGGCAGCCCATTTGGCCTGCCTGAGGAACAGATTCCCAGACACAAATGCTCTTTGCACTCTAAGGACTGTAGGTCTGTAGTAGTGGTGCATCTCCATTAGTGAAAGGGCTGATTTTGCTGGTTGATTTCTTGTGAACAGCAGTAGGTAGTCTTGCAAGAGATCAGTACCTCAAGGGATTTGGACTCCTGGCTGCATATCGTAAATCACTGTTGAATATTGTGCACTCTTGAAAAAAAAGTGTGTCCATCTAAGCCTTTTCCGTCACCTTGGTTTGTGTTTATGTCATTACTGGCTCAGGAATCATGAGCAGCTCATGAGTTATTTTCTTTTGGTTATCTTGCTAAATGTGTCCATCTCACTTCTGAGAAAGCAGCGGTCTCCCTAGGTTAAGCCCCTGGGCAGTCTGCAGGATGCAGCTGTTAAAGGTAGAAATGTTATTTGGCATCTAATTTCTAATCAGGTATTGTTCAGTGCTGTTTGACGTGTGAAGGCGTAGTATATTTGAATTGTTTGTTGTGCTGAAAATAGGGACCTGGCTGCTACACTGTGAATCTTAACTATTTGAGTCCAGCAGCTTCTTGGAGAAACTTTCCCTATATCCAAAACTAATACGTGAGAAAAAATTAATATGCTTGTAACATGTCATCCTGCAATATGTTTTATGCAGCCTTCTGGATTCTGAGCTGAAGAAGTTACATTTTTTTGTGTGTGTGCAACTATAACTGCAGCTGAATGATTTTGCCTCTTCCTTACCTGATTCTCTAACTTTCTGTATTTAGCAGTGAGAAAAATTGGAATATGACATTTCTGTGTACATATTTGACTGGCACAAAACTGCTTCAGTTTTCCCAGTATTTTATTTGCTGTTTTGCTGTAACCATGGGAGACCACTGGGATGGTTCTGAGGGAGCCACTTTTTGGACATTTTATGTGGTTAGTGTTGTGTGCAGTGACTGTGAGTATTCTAGCACAGGTAACAGGTAACACTCATCACTTTCATGCTTCTGTGAGTATTTTGGAAGGCCTGCATCAGCAGAAAAGGCCTTGAACAGAAAGATTTCACTGTACATAATAATCCTGCAAATGGTGACTGACGTCTTGGAATCCGCAGTCACTTGCTGTGATGCTGTATCAGGATTCTACACACTACCTGGTGTGGAAAAGGCAGAACCTCACCTTTCTTATGAACTATTTAGTCATGTCACAAATAAGTGAAACTGTACTGAGAAGTTGTTGAGGGATTACATCTGAATGTATTAAGACTTAGGCCGTTATGGTTCATCATGGTAGATGAAAGTTTTTATTAGTTCTCAATTACTCCTGTCCTCTGGTGTCAGAGGTCTCTCTCTCCACGCTGCTTAGAAAATGGCTTGCAGCTATTTGTGCTGTGAAATTTCTCTCTTCATAGTGACTGACAGTGGCTCTGAGGGGGGACAGGGGTGGCTTCTGCTTGGAGAGGCCGTGGGGCCATGTGTGACAAACTAAGGATTTGTTCTGTGAAGGGAAGATTACTATAAATAATTATCCTAGGGGTGTGGCTCTAGATCATTACCTGCCTGTCATTTGCTTTTGTGTCTGCCATCGACAGGTCTGCATCCATAGCACAGCTAGTTGCGAGTTCAGTTCTGCTCTGGGTTCTGTACTGGTAACAAACATCGTCTGCAATAGATTAATAAACCTAAGTGCTGATTTTTGTGGAGAAATTATGATTTCTGTAGGAATGCTTTGGAACACTGGTTGACTACAAAGCCCTGCTGAAACCTAATAGATGTGCTAGCACACTACTGGATTCCGGTATCTAGCACGCTTCTGAGAAGACTTACTTCTGCTGCTGCTTACTGATTAAAACCTAGGTCAGAGTAGAATTGTAAGCCACTGAAGTGAGGTCTGTAGAGTCTTGCTGTATCCACA